CCCCCCCCCCCCCCCCCCCAAAATGCATCCAGACACCCAGGGAGTCTTTCAACTCCTTCAGGTCATTCCTTGGCAGAAGCTATGGCTATGTAGAAGGTTTCGGAACTCGCATTATATAGCACCACCATGCAAAAACTCATGCTGCCAAAACTCTCGTGTCCGGTGGACTTTTCATCCCGGAGTCTGTCCGAAGTAGCGATGTATCGCTGCTTTCTGCTGAGTGCCGCATCTTTGTATTTTTTGATTCGTTGTGGCAATTGATTGGCCACGATTTCCGGAAAGGTTTCCAGCTTGATCTTGCCTTCCTCCTTCTGCTGCCCGCACTCGTCACCTTCCGGATCGAAGCTTTTGCCGTGAACCAGGCTGAAGCCTTGGAAATCGTCAGGCAATTCGCCGGCTGCGGCTTGGCATTCTTCGATGATCCTGAGGCTTTCCAGGGTCTCGTCGTCCACCCTGTCCTCGACCTCCACGAGGTACTTGTTTTGGTCCGTGTACTTGCATTTCCTGGGTGGGCAGGTTATAGAATGTTATACAGGCTTGGCTCTGCAAGAACCAAACGGATTGTCCAGCCGAAGCACTTGACGAGGCCGCGGGCCGTGCAGTACTTGACTGCACCGGCGATCTTTGCCCTTTGCATGTTTGGTGTGACACCGGGTGTATAAGTATATACTCGATCAACCCAGCAATTGCGACAGCATGCACAAGACTTCTAATGCGTAAGGGCCCTGCGGGGGCCACTTGTCCTTTGCCATCTCCTCCTCCGTGAGCCAGGCCCGAATAACATTCGCCTTCTGCTGCCTCACCTTCTCGCGGCGGTACTTGATCAAAGCTTCGATGCGAGCCTGCCCGGCACTGCTCGATGCATCGCACCCACCATCAATCCAAACGGGATCGAGAGATTACACAAGTGCATGTTCTACGTTTTCTGTCGAACGTACATACAGGGCAGATCAAGCAGGAACAAACTCGACATTGAAATTGTTGCCGCGTTGAGGGTACTGCCAGATTTTGTGAGAGCAGGGGTTAAATATAATTCATTCGTTTGCAAACGTCGGGTTTCGATGGCTTTTGTCTCTGTATATAGTTTCACTGTTTTCTAGGGCCTTCTTGGGCTTTCTAGGGGGTTTGTGAATGGAGTGCTTCGAGGGTTCTTCTCTATAGGGTGTATACGGAGGATATATATACACAGGGCTTCTACAAAGGTGTGTTCTACCCATAGTCTCCATTGTATAGTTCCTTTT